TAAACATTAACTTCCCTGAGGCATAAAACAGCCCGTTTACATTCGATATCTTTTTAATCGATGCAAAAAAGACTTAAAAAAAAAACTTCCCACATTATCACATCACAAGTTCTTATCTGTGAAGCGTAATTAGTGATGCATGAACTTCCTCATCAGAAATTCTGTTTTGGACGAGCATGCCCGTGTCATAAGGTGCGGTTTTCAAGGAAATAACTATTAGAATTTTCCGTCTGTATTTTTCTCTTCTCTCTCTTTCTTTATTCTCGCTCTCTCTCTCTCTCTTTCTTCTCTTTCTTTCTTTCTCTTCTTCTCTTTCTCTTTCTCTCTCTCTCTCTCTCTTCTCTCTCTCTCTCTCTCTCTCTCTCTCTCTCTCTCTCTCTCTCTCTTCTCTCTCTCTCTCTCTCTCTCTCTCTCTCTCTCTCTCTCTCCTTTCTCTCTCTCTCTCTCTCTCTCTCTCTCTCTCTCTCTCTCTCTCTCTCTCTCTCTCCTCTCTCTCTCTCTCTCTCTCTCTCTTCTCTCTCTCTCTCTCTCTCTCCCTCTCCTCTCCTCTCTCCCTCTTCCTCTCCTCTCCCTCTCCTCTCCTCTCCCTCTCCTCTCTCCTCTCCTCTCCTCCCCCTCTCTTCCCCTTCCTCATCTCTCTCTCAGACTCTCTCTTCCTCTCGTTCTTATCTGTCTCTCTCTCTCTTTTTATCCCATCCTGCCTCTCTCCGCTCGCCCTATCTATCTCTCATTCTCGAATTACACCACAAACAGACTCCGTTATGTATGTTTACACTGGCTCCGCATCCCTGTGACATGTGGTAGAATGTCATCATGGAGAAATGAATATGTTAATGTGGAAAGTATGTTGACGCGGCCCTGGCTGACGGAGGTACCAAAAAGCTGGTGGTAATAATTAGAGAGAATGAAAGGAGAGGAAGAAGGAGGAGAGAGAGAGAGAGAGAGAGAGAGAGAGAGAGAGAGAGAGAGAGAGAGAGAGAGAGAGAGAGAGAGAGAGAGAGAGAGAGAGAGGAGGAGAGAGAGAGGAAGGAAGGAGGGAGGGAGAGAGGGAGAGAGAGAGGAGAGAGAGAGAGAGAGAGAGAGAGAGAGAGAGACAGAGACAGAGAGAGAGAGAGACAGAGACAGAGACAGAGACAGAGAAAGAGAGAGAGAGAGAGAGAGAGAGAGCGAGATAGATAGATAGATAGAGAGAGAGTGCTTGTAAAAATACAGTTAGAATAAGAAGAAAGAAAAACGAAGATATAGAAAAAAATCAACGAAGAAAATGTAGATCATATGATAGATATGACGGCAAACAAAACAATACTCAAAAAAGAGCCAAGTATCGGATGAAAAAATAATCAGGATAAAGGTAAATGCCAAAGAAAAGGGAAAACGAAGAAGAAGAAAAAAAAAAAAAAAGATCGCCTTTCGTTCCAGCCATTTGTTGCATCTCACTCTTCGTTAAATATTCATGATCTATGTTCGACTTTCTTTTCGAAAATATCTTTGCGGTGTAAGTGAGAAAGAGGCAAAATCCGTCTAATATTTCGCACTGCTATGAGAACGGGTAAGCTTTTACTGAACCGAATGTAGAAAGAGAGAGAGAGAGAGAGAGAGATAAAATTGCTTAACCCTTAAAAACGAAATTGTTCTATTTTTGGTAAATTCCTTTGATTCCTTCCCCTCTTCTCTGTAATCACCCTTTGTTCAACATAAAAAAAACTCAATTCTCAAACCGCTGTTTAAACCTATGCAAATATGAACTATATGAACAAAATTTTGCACGTTTTTTTAATAAAAAGCAAGATAAAAAAAAAAAAAAAACTTTAACTTAACTTTTCCACCTCCTTTGACAAACCCAACCCCCCTTCCCCGCCCCCTACTCATTCCCCTCTCTCTCTCTGATGGATAAGAAGGATACCATATTAACACTCTTGTGTGTTTATCTAATGGGGGCGAGAGGAGGGGGTAGGGGTGGGGATGGATAGAGTCTCCGATCATCCCATCCATAATGGAGAAAGATCTTGGCATACCATTCTTTCCGTTAGGCCTACAGAACAAACAGCGAAATCAAGCTGGCCGAATTATGCAAGACTTCGAGGTTGGGTGAGCGTCGTGAGGGGAGGAGGGTATCCTCAAGGGGAGGAGAGGGGCATCAGTAGCCTTAGTAGCCCTCGCACAATAGCAGAGGGAGATGCTGACCCCTTGGGGAGGGGAGGGGAGGGGGAGAGGGAAAACATTAGTATTTAGGGTGCGGAGGGGGAAGGACACGAAACAGGAATAAGTATTTGCGGAGGGAGAGGAGGGGAGAGGAGGGTAGGGGAGGGGAGGAGAGGGGAAGGGAGGGAGGGGAGGAGGGGAGAGGAGGAGAGGGAAAGGTAAGGGGAGAGGAGGAGAGGGAAAGGGAAGGGGAGAGGAGAGAGGGAAAGGGAGGGAGGGAAAGAGAAGGGAGAGGAGGGGTGGAAAGGGAGGGAGAGGAGGAGAGGGAAGGGAGGGGGAGAGGGAGGAGGAAAGGAGG